GTTGAAGAATGAGCAAAGCTTTATGATTGGGGCGCGGACCTTTGGGGGAGGATACCCCGCAGGGCAACAGGGAGCAGCTGAGTCATAATGACATGACAGTCATGGGCCTTCATAGGGCCATAGTTGAACTTGAGTTCTCTCATGTTCACTAGCCTCTTTGGGTCCGCACAGTAACCCGTCGAGACTTTGAGTTCATTGAAGAAAGAAATAAGCGCACGCTTTTCTTCCTTCTTCAATGTCCATGACGCAACCAAAAGTTCGAACTGGCCATTCTCTAGCTCCACGGGATGCAGCTCCTTCCTGATTCCCAAGTGTTGCATGTCCAGGCGTGTGGCTAGTGAATCCTTCGATGTCCCCCCGGTGTCCATCAAGGTGTTAAGAGTGTTAGCGCACATGTTTTTAGTGATGTGCATGGGATCAAGACAGTGGCGTATACTCAAAAAATGGCCAGTAAGGTAGTTTCTAGAATACAGATTTTTTCTTCCAAATGCTCCCATCAGGCGCTGCTACTACATTGTCCCCCTTCCCAAGGACAACCTCCGGTTTGTTGAGTTCTCGAAGTATCGCAGTACCGTTGAAATCTTTTCTGTTCCTGCGGTAAGGGTGATCCTTAGGTAGGAACCTATGGTGTCCCGTATAAACTATCTTTGAATTATTTGGCAGATTTACCGCATTGGTGTCGTCCAAGCACTTGACACATCCAGTATAGCCTTTTGTCTTCTCTCCGGACAACGAACCTCAATCTGGCAGGTCGGTGATTGTAGCGATAAGTACTCCCTTGATCGTGACATGTTCCTTTTTGTACTCGTCCCAAACATCCGGCACACCCTTTTCAAACATCTCCACTAGTTCATCGATCACTGGTTCCAGAAACACATCGATGTCATTCCTAGGTTGTCTTGGCCCTTGGATTAGTAGTGGCATCTGGATGTACGACCGCTTCATACAGACCCAAGGTGGAAGGTTGTATATATAGAGCGTCACTGGCCAGGTGCTATGATTGCTTCTAACCTGGTCGAAAGGATTCATCCCATCTGTGCTCAAAGCAAACCAAAGGTGCCTTACCTCTCCACCGAAGTCCTTATAGAACATAGTATTGATAGTCCTCCAGTCATGCCCATTGGCGGGGTGCCTCATCATTATATCTTCCTTATGCTCTTTGCCATGCCAGCGCAACAGTTTGGCTGACTTTGCACATGCAAACAGCTTATGCACTCGGGGAGCTATAGGGAAATACCAAACGACCTTTACGGGACCTCCTCTGGTCTTGGTACCCTCATCTGACGGCCTTTCCTTGTACCATGGAGCTCCGCACTTGGGGCACTTGTCCAAGTCTTTGTATTTTTCTCCACGGTACAATATGCAATCATTGGAACACGTGTGGATTTTTTCAACCTCGAGACCGATATTTGCTTGGCCAAGTATGTCTTTTCTGACAACTCATTTTTTTCTGGGAGCATTTTCCTTATTATACCTAACAACTTATCGAAGCCTTTATCGCTCAATCCGTTTGTCAATTTGAACTCTAACAGCAAGATGTCGGCTTCCAGTTTGCTCATTGGACAATCCCTATACAATGGTGTTTTGCCATCTTGTCTCATTTTCTCTAGCTTTCTCAGCTGTCTTTCACTAAGACATTCGGTCTCTACATTACGTAGCAGCTGAGAAATGCCATCGTTATCCTCGGTGTCATCAGCTAGCATGTTCCTAAACACATTATTAACTGTGGGCATAGGTTCCGTGTTGACACCGGGTTCCTTGTCACCATCGTGGATGGCTACATCAGGCATGTCCGCATCATCATCGTTTTCCTGCTGAACATTCACACCAATCTCGCCATGCATAGTCCATATCGTATAGTTTGGCATGAACCCCCTGATAATCAAGTGCGATCGTATAGACTCAATTTGACGAAAGTTCCTTTGATTCTTGCAATCTTTGCATGGGCGTAAAGACAGGTTCCCATTCCCAAAGATGGGCTTTGGCATCAGTGATAAACTGGCTGACGCCATGCATGTACCGCTTGTCTGTTCGGGACAAATGCATCCACTGTCGATCCATCTCTGCACAAAAAAAATATTGAGACAGTAATTACAAAGAATTAATAAGAAATCGAGCTTCATGAACAACAATTGTAGCTCGAAAGTACCATTTTTGGAAAACATTATTGTACACTAATTATTGAAAAATTGAAATTGTTAGCCCTGGCCCTGTAAATTGAAAATTATAGTAAAAACAACTATTGCACAATATTGAAGAACAACTATTCTACTCTACTTCTTAGAACTAATTATAGCATCACATACTAACAATGATGATCTTGACCACCATGGAATAATTAGCCAAGAATTTAAATGTGTTCACAGACACCAACCGTTTGGATGATGGATTCACCACAATTTGAGCCTTGCACAAATGTCCAATTGAAAAAGTGCTCTGTAGAATGGAGAAAGAACTAGAATGAGAATCAAGCAATGTAGCCATCAAAACGAAGCTAATTAAGCAACTAAATCAAAGGAGTGGATGTTTGTTACTAACCTTAAAGCAAAAAGATCAAGCCATTCTTCAAAATCCAAGTGCTAGCTTCATGGTGAAGAGTAGTCGCAACAATGGAGGGAAGGGCCCAAACACGTGCCTCTGTTCTCGGGATGTAAGAGAGGAGGAAGAAGAGGATGGCTGCAGCCTTTTTGTGCTGTAGGCTTATCACCGTCGGTTCTTGGCTAGAACCGACAGTGATAGAGCCCAATCACTGTCGGTTTGTGGCTTGAACCGGCAGTGATGAGTGGCCGCCAAAATACTGCCGGTTCAAGCCACAAACCGGCAGTGATGTGGTGCTTTACTGCCGGTTTTAACCTAGTCCCAATCATTTTCTCATTTTCAAGTTCATAACCAGCAGTGAAGGTACACCACTGCCGATTCTCAGAAATCCGGCAGTGATGAGGCTCGCAGTGATGTCCAAATCTGGCGTAGTGGTGTAGGCAGCTTGACGTCGCTTCTTCCGACGATGTAGTACCGGAGGAGGCCGAGGAGGTGCGGCGGCTCAAAGGCGTCGTCCATGACGAACGGCTTCTCGTGCCGGTCCTTGCGGTCCTACAGACAGCCTCGCAGGGAAGCGATGAACTCCTTCAATGGCACGGGCCAGAGCGCCATGACGGCCCTGACCACCAGCCATGGGAGCTGGTTCTCGAGCTACATGATGTCGTGATAGACGTCGTTGTCGTTGGCGTCAAAGAAGCTGCGCAGCACCGGGTCCATGTGGGCAAGGCCGGCGTCGGTGCACGTGAGCATGTACTGCACCATGAAGCAAGCGTAGTAGAACATCATGGACAGAAACACGTCGTGGCCGATGTTGTCCACCACGTTCCTGTCATATCTGATATCACATGTGGTGATGTCCTGATTTGTAAGCATCGTACATGATAACGTGCACCAAACCTTCTCAAATTTTTATCACATCCTCCACATACGATATCATGACATCTCGACAAGTTTCATGATTTTTGGACTTCTCTTGCATTTTATAGAATTTTAAAAAAAATTCGTCCGCAAGTTCGTGGTCATGTCTCGTGAATAAGATGTCCGAAATTTCGGGTCCGTTCCTGGATACGGCCTCACACTACACTCAATACCATGAATATCATTTTTTGAATCATTAAATTCAATTATTCGATGCATGTGCGGTTCAAATTTGCATTTTCTGAAAAATTCAATCAAATGAAATAAATTAACTAAATATTGCAAAAACCCATAAAAATGTACCAAATTTTAACATGGAGTCTCATGTACTGTAGGAGGACTCGACAAAAATTTTGGAGTTCAAAAGTGCGAAAAAAATAGTTTGCCGTTATTCTTTGCCGAGTGTCGTGGTCCAAAGACTCGGCAAAGAAGTGGTTTGCTGTGCCTACCAGCTGGCACTCGGTAAACCTGGACAGCAGGCGGCGGCCGGTACCTGACGTCGCTTTTTGCCGAGCGCCAGGGTTTGCCGAGGGCCTGACACTCGGCAAAAAGGGCCTTTGTCGAGTGTCTGGCTTTGCCGAGTGCCTAACACTCGGCAAAGTCTTCTTTGCCGAGTGTCTGACACTCGGCAAAGTCTTCTTTGCCGAGTGTCTGACACTCGGCAAAGTCTTCTTTGCCGAGTGTATATCATTGCCGAGTGCGGCACTCGGCAAAATAGCTCTTTGCTGAGTGCCTGACTTTTAGCCCTCGGCAAAGGCCCTGTTTCCCGTAGTATCGGTAGAGGCAGATAACCGCCAAAGAAATAGGGGCTGTCTACCAGACGTTCGGGTGCTTCTAGCCCTTTCATCACCCAGGTGTTGCAGGCCCAACGAAACGCTCGATTGCCCAACCCACAAAAAAATCATTACCGCTGCTTTAGTCAATTGACAGACTTGAATAATACGCTGCCTGTGTCTCTATCCAACTATGTGCATGAAGTTTTGGGTGGGTCTGCGTGCGTGTATGAAGAAAAGAAAATAAAAGAAAATAGTGGAACAACAGGCCAAGCTTGCTCAAAACTAGTCCAAGTTGGGGTATAATATATATATATATATATATACATCAATGTCGTTGCATGCAGACGTACTGACATGGTAGGTGCTACCTTCCATATCTCACTGACCATAAGATGTAGAGCTACCACTAACCATATTCTATCGTAATTCGTATCAACTCCACGTTACAATTTGCACCAAGTTGATATATATTCAAAGAAGAGAAGACAGCAGGATTGCAGGAAGAAAGAATTGGAAAATACAGGATTGGCAAAGCAACAATGGTGTGCGGCCAACTAGCAGATTCCGCGGCCAACTGATGGAATAGACAATAGTACTGTCAGATTCAGAACACACTAGCTAGAGAATCAGAAAGAAGGCAACACATTGCATTTTACTGCAAATGGGATTCAGAATTCAGATACAAGGAATAATTTTAGTTACAATGGAAACTAGCTAGCAACAGTTGGATCATCTCACACTGACAGCATCGTAGATCATCGATAGACCTTATTGAGATTTGAGAGACCTGATTGTGCCTATGATACTGGCAAGCGCAGCAATCACGGAGATGACGGCTACGATGACTTTCACATTCCTGTAAACAAACGCGTGCAGCTTGGTCCGCGTCCTCCTGTTCACCTTGTAGTCCTCGATCTCCTCCATGATGCGGACGTAGCGTGATCCAAGGCGCAGTCCCTGGACGCTCGTCAGGAAGCGGAGCGCCTCCCTGTTGGTGAGCCCTCCTCCTCGCTGCAGGACGCGCCTGGCCCGCAGCTCGTGCACGTCCTCCTCCCTGTCCTCAAGCATGCCGAGGAGGAGGAGATACGAGCAGACGGCCGACGCCTCGTCCTCGGCGTCTTGAAAGCTGGGGGTCACGCACAGCTCAAGGGCCGCCATGTTGAGCAGCACGCTGGCGCGCGTGTCGTCCAGGGACAGTGGCGACAGGGAGAGCTCGGCGAAGAGGTTCCCTTTCTTGTTGACGCCCATGTAGACAAGCTCGCTCGTCTTGCTGGCCGTCAGCGTGATGCCGATCTCGGCGAGCTCGATGGCACTCACGGAGAAGGACATCGACTCGGTCTCCGGTAGTGTAGGCAACTTGACGTCGCTTCTTCCGACGATGTAGTACCGGAGGAGGCCGAGGAGGTGCGGCGGCTCAAAGGCGTCGTCCATGACGAACGGCTTCTCGTGCCGGTCCTTGCGGTCCTGCAGACAGCCTCGCAGGGAAGCGACGAACTCCTTCAATGGCACGGGCCTGAACGCCATGACGGCCCTGACCACCAGCCATGGGAGCTGGTTCTCGAGCTGCATGATGTCGTGATAGACGTCCTTGTTGTTGGCGTCGAAGAAGCTGCGCAGCGCCGGGTCCATGTGGGCAATGCCGGCGTCGGTGCACGTGAGCATGTACTGCACCAGGAAGCAAGCGTCGTAGAACATCATGGGAAGGGACACGTCGTCGCCGATGCTGTCCAGCACGTTCCTGTCATAGATGCTACGGGCATAGCCGGCGACGGCGACGACCGCCCCATAGACCTCCTCGGCTGAGTGGCCTGACTCCATGATGCAGTGGTATGCAGCCACGTGCTTCACCTTCTCCGCCGCCTTCAGGTGGTCTCGGGCGTGGTGGTATGGGCCAATAGACACCTAGATAATCTACTGCTTCCTATTGTGAATATACGGCAGGGGAAGGCAGCGTCGAAAAGGTACCAGGCTGTGGTACTGGCAGCTCACGCAGGGGCAGACGTCGAACGGCTCACCTACTACATCAGAGTAGGCACAGCAGGGGCATGCGCCAGAGTCAGTCCTGCTGTCTCATCTTGTCACTGTAGCAGCATGACAGCTGTACTAGTACTAAATAGATAGAGTTGTATATATAGTTTGCCACTACAACTAAGTAAAGAGAGACTTCAGATTTGCCATCTCCTATACAGAGCTCCGGCCAACGCTGGTGTCTCTGCTGTGTGTATGCTCTGTTCTTCCTCCCTTCTTCTACCTCCAACCATTGGGTGTGGTCGGACAACGCTAGTTGTGGTCGGCAAGACTGGTGAGTGGTCGACTCACCTGAGCCGGTGATCCTGTGTGGGCCAACAAGTGGTATCAGAGGCGTACAAGCAGCGTCGCCGGACTAACCGCTGGCGATGACGGAAGGTTTGGAGATGGACTACAGCAGTGGCACTGCTATGGCTGCCCAGCCACGACAGGAGGTCGTTGTTCGCATGGTGCGGGAGGTCAGCGACACCAGTTGGCCGACGCTGACTCGCACCGACTATGGCGAGTGGTCGGTGACCATGAAGGTCAAGCTTAGAGCCCGACGGCTCTGGAATGTTGTTGACAAGGGCACCAAAAATGAAGAAGACAACATGTCAGCTTTGGATGATATCCTCGCTGCTGTACCGGCGGAGTACAGGGAGCCGTTGGGGGCGAAAAGCTATGCTAAGGAGGCGTGGGAGGCTATTGCGGTGATAGCGCGTCGGTTCGGACCGCGCAAAAAGTACGCCAACCTCATGTTCAAGAATGGTGAATCGGTGGAGGACTTTTCTCTCCACCTGCAGACGCTCATCAGCAAGCTAAAGAGCCACGGCGTCACCATCGACGAAGAGAAGGTGGTCTCAAAGCATCTCCACTCCGTGCCGGCAAAGTACATCCAGATCGGTCTCTCCATAGAGATGATGCTGGACTTGTCCACCCTCATCATTGAGGATGTGACAAGCTGTCTGCGGACGGTGGACAAGCGCCTGGAGTAGGCGACAGTAACCAAGGACAGCGGCAAGCTACTGCTGACAGAGGAGTGGACTGCTTGGAGGAACACCGGGGTAGCCTCCTCCAGCCGCGGTGGCGATGGCAAGCGCCGCGGCAAGGATTCTTCGGAGAAGAAGAAGCAGGTCGACCCCAACGCCTGCCGGCGCTGCGGGAAGACGGGCCATTGGGCAAGTGAATGCCCAAATCGCAAGCAGGAGAAGAGGGCTGAGGTTCATCTGGCGCAAGTTGAGGATGAGGATGAGGCCACTATCCTGATGGCGACGTTCTGTGCACTGCACGACATTGAAGCCGAGGAGAAGGGAGAGGTGATGGCGGTGGAAGGGCTTGGGAAGGTCCTGAAGGCTGTCAACCTCGACGACCCGCGTGCCCAAGTCCACCTTGGACGTGTGTTTGTAATGAACATGACATTGTCCTTTTCTCGTAAGGTATCGAGCAGTTTCTATGTGATCTGTGTATAGTTCTTTTCCATATAACATTTCTACCTTTTTGTACAGTACTCTTCATCTCACTGATTGGAGCATGGAACCAGCTGCGGCATGGGGACCTTTCGACATTCAACTGTCGAACTGGACCATGGAATATGCAGGATGGGCTTGTGGCTACCCAGCAGAGTCGGAGTAGACTGAGACATTTGGTAGAAGCTGGCTCCAAACATCTAGCGGATGGCAGATGGTTTAGTATGCAGTAGCCGCAGATGATGATTCCATTGACAAAGCAGCACAAGAGTTTGATGCTCACTTCCATAATTTGGGAATGAAGATCCCAATCAATCCCATTCATGTGTCTGAGGATGCAGCACGCGAGTTCAAGGTTGATATCGACATGATGAAGATGAAGATCCATATGTACCCTCCAAGCATCCAAGCATTTGCTGACAAATTCTTTACCATCCCAAGGTTGGTGGCCATTGGGTCTTATCACCATGGCCAGAACCAGCTCAAGCAGGCAGAGAAAGCGAAATAAGTGGCTGCCTACCACTGCATCTTGGAGTCGGGCCACTCAGTCCAGGACATGTATGATGCAGTCATCTCTGCCGCTTATGATGCGCGTAGCCTCTACGACAAGGACGTGATGGCACGGATCAGCCAAGACGACTTCCTGACCATGATGTTCTATGATGCTTGTTTCTTGGTGCAGTACTTTGCTTGTAGCACAGATGGTTCCGGTACCATGGACCCATCAATCCATCATTGCGCGGCTTCTTTGACTTCAACCGCAAGGCCATCCGCCATGACATCGTGCTGCTCGAGAACCAGATCCCCTGGAGCGTAGTGGATGCCATCACGAGGTTCCGGCCCGTGGACCTGGAAGCCTTCGTCGCGTTCTGGAAACAGTACCTGCAGGACCGCAAGTTTCTCGGCGGCGAAAAGCCTCTTGTGTTGGATGCCAGCTTCGAGCCACCGCATCTCCTTGGCCTCCTTCGGTTCTACATTGTGGGAAAAGGCAACACCAAGCCACCCACTCAAGTGAAAACCAACATGATATCATTTTCTGTGAGTGCCATTGAACTTGCTGAAAATGGCATCAAGCTCAAAGCCAATGAAGAAACAACGGAGCTCATTCATATGGGCGTCAACAAGAGAGGGATCTTCGCCGAGCTCTCCATGGCGCCGCTGTCGCTGGACGACGAACGTGCCAGCTTCCTCATCAACATGGCGGCTCTCGAGCTGTGCACGACCTCCAATTTCCAGGAAGCTGAGCCTGAAGACTCTGCCGTCTGCTCGTACCTTCTTCTCCTCTCCCTGCTGGTGCATAGGGAGGAGGAAGTGCAGGACCTACGGACAAAGCATCTCCTGCAAGGAGGAGCAGGGCTCATCAACAAGGACGCGCTGACATTCTTCACGAGACTTCAGAGCCTGTCCCTACGTGGATCCAACTGCTATGTCCGCATCATGATGGAGATCGAGAAGTACAAGGTGAAGAGGAGGATGCAGATCAAGGTGCATGCATTTTTTTACAAGAACAAGAGAACCATCTTCGCGATCTTCTCAGTGGTTGGTGTACTTGTCAGTATCTTAGGGACGCTCATGTCTCTCAAAAAGCGCTCTATGGTTTAGCTGCTTACTTGTTTTGTTGGTGGAATTGTAGGTGGACGGCTCTAATCCCTAAAGGCCTCAAATAATGCTGATATGCACCTATTTAGGTGATTACTTTTGAGTTTAACTGTTATATATGTGGAGGGATGGATGTTATATACTTTGTTCCTGATAAAAGTTCCCTGTATTTAAATACCATTGTGTCTGGGGTCAATATTGTCTATGGGCCTGTTTGTCTACTTATACGATGTTCTAATATATTGGTCCCATTCGCTGCAGATGAAAGCCGTTGCAGCTGCAGCATTTTAAGATCAAGGCTAAGTATCTTACAGCCGATGAACACTTGCTGCAGCTGCAGCTTCAGGCTACAGGGAACAGGCCCGTTGAATTTGCTGAGTCCATGGCACATAAAAAAATTTTAGCTGGAATTTTATGAACCTATACAAGGATTTAATTATTTCATCCGGTAATAATCTAAAAGATTCTTAATTATTTTATTAAGGTCAGTGAATTAATTTTCTTTTGAGGTGAAGCAAAATATGATGAAGGTCGGAAATGTAGATTTTACTACTACAGAATCTTCATCACTGCCGGTTCCAGACCCCTCATCACCGCTAGTTTTGGCCCTCCGTGGTGAAAGTTATTCAGCCTGTTCGGCTGGGGCTAAAACGATCGTATACGATCGTGGATTATTACTGCTGGCTGGTTTGGTGTGAGAGAAAAATACTGTTCTGGCTAGAGATTTATGATCGTTTACGACCAAGTGAACAGGGCGATTGGTGATAAGAATCTTCATCACGGTTATCACCACCGGTTCGTGTTACCAGCCGGCGGTGATCAAGATTTCCAGAAATTCCAAACTCGAGTAAAAAAAATAGCTAAAAATTTTATTTTAATCCCGGCAAAGCTCCATGAGCCAGCCACACGCAACGCAAGTCACATGATTTTTCGTGCGAAAATCCCAACATTGCGCAAAGCTGGGATTCGAACCTAAGACTTGTGTCCTTGCACGTATTTGCTCTAACCACTCCACCCCTAAGTCGGTTGTGTCTATATAGCATATTCATTTCTCTAGTATTTACGTTTCAGGATTTTGAAATAAATATTTATGACCATAAATGACATCGTTGAAAAAGTTATCAACTATAAAGTTGTTGTTCTATTCGAGATCTACCACTTTGATGTTGGTTACTTCGATCGTTATCCGAGGTCGTTCGACAAATTTGAATTTCAAATCGTCAAAACTTCAGCCATACTTTTGGGACCTCAAATGATTTTAAATGAAAAAGTTATCAACTACAAAGTTTTAGTTCTTATCAAGATCTACAACTTTGGTTTTGCTCAATTTTCCATCCGAGGTCGTTTGAAAATTTTGAATTTCAAAATTTTATAACTTTAGATACTAATTTCATACCCTAAATGATTTCTAATGAAAAAGTTTTCAACTACAAAGTTGTAGATCACATCGATATCTATAATTTTTATTTTGATCATTTTTTCATCTGAGGTTGTTTGTACAATTCAAAAAAATTGAATTTTAAAATATGTGAGCTTCAAAACAGAATTATGGGACCGTAAATGATTTCAAACGAAAACGTTATCATCATCTACAAAGTTGTAGATCTCGTCAAGATCTACAACTTTGATATAAAGTTTGTTTTCATCCAATTTTGTTTGAAAAAGTTTTGAATTTTATTATGCTGCAGCATAAGTCAAACCGTCGGTGAAAGTCACCGGTTCGTAACACAAACCGGCGGTGAAAAATGGGTCGCTATCACCGCTGGTTGGTAACACAAACCGGCAGTAGTGATAGGTTATCACCGCCGCTTCAGGTTACCAGCTGGCAGTGATAATGACCTCCATTTTCACAAACGGTTTGTAACATGAACCGGAGGTGAAAATCATTTCATGAACGGTTTTGTGGAGCAAATTTACCCAAAGAAAAGGAGTTATGCCAATTCAAGAATCCACCGGATATAAGAAGCAAGATGATGACGGGCTCCACTTTTGTTGACGTGTATTGCTAGTGGCTTGGTTTAATTAGGAAGGCTAAGTGTGGTTATTACCATTGAAGCCACATTATTGTAGTATATGTCCTTTTGGCTGAAGTCGTAGCAAGCATGTCAAGTTTGCTTCCTTCGTCATTTTGGGTCAGGTCCGGTCACGTGTTTGTCGGACTCAACGTGCTTGAATCTAGTTGGAGTCGATGGTTGGCCTGCGAGCCATTGATCCTGGGTACTCTCCCCGTAACGTATTAGATCGATTCAACTATATTGTGGAGTTCTTTCTCTATCGAGTCGTCGCTTGAGAAACCATGCATAGATGATTTATTGATCCGGATCTCTGTGGGGATGTGTGTCGGTATGTGATTAGGAAACGAGGCACCCCGATGCGCGGCCGCCGTGGCCGCTTGACACGCGCAGGCAAGCACGGGCCGCGCAGCCTCCAGCCTGCCACCACGGTCATCAAGGCCGCCACCTGTCAGGGACCGGATCCACTCGACGGCTAGTCCGTTTCGATCCGAGGCGCGCGGGCAGGAGGAGGCGGGAGCTCCCCAGGCGGAGGCAGGAGGTGGGGCTGTGGCCAGGAGGTCCTCTCGTTGCTGCTCCTCGTCGCCTCCGGGTTCGATGGCACAGGTTGGGCATCATCGGATCTAGCGGATCCGGCGACGGCCAGGTCAGGCACCCCGTGCCCCCGCGCCCCCGCGCACGCACATCGGTTAGGCCAGGCGGCGGCCGGGTGGCCGGGACTGCTGCTGGAAGACGATGGGCCGCCTCGCGACGGGCGAGCCTTCCATCTTCTTTGAGGAGCGATTCAATGGTGCAGGTTGCGGATCCGGCGATGACCCGGTCAGAACACCCACGCATGACCGTGGCCCCATGCGCGTTTGCCGGTTAGGCCTGGCAGTGGCCGAGGCTGCGGCCGAACTCGCGGCGCCCGTGCATGATCTGCCGGCGGGGAACTAGGGGCTGCCGGATCTGCGCCCCCGTGGTGGCGGCGGCGGCTGGGTGGACCACTTCTTCGTCATGCTCATCACCACTGCTTCGGTTAACCTCCTTGATGGCGTAGCAACCCTAGGCCCAGCGGCCGCTTGAAGGAGGTGGATCTCATCAGCAGCAGCTGCCCTAGGGGTGGCAGATGGCTGGAAGTTTTGGCGGAAAAGGTTATCCTCGGTGGCAGCGACGAAGAACTCGGCAGAGGCGATGGCCATTCTAATGACGGCGGCTGCCCTATGGGTAGTGGAGGCCTTGAAATCCGGTGATGCGGAAGCGGATCACGTCTGATCGGTTAGTTCTGACTGGACGACGACGGATGAAGGTGGGCTTACAAGCGACACGTGGTGTCAGCTCACTTGAAGCGGATGAAAATGGCACCAGTGGAGGTTCGCAGCAATGGCGCACTAGGGGCGGTGGCGACTTGATGACTTTCACTCACCGAGTCTGGCCGTTTCAGGAGAGGATGCCGGAAGCGAGGGATTGCCGAGGTCGCAGTTTTTTTCTTTCTTTGGTTGTGTGTTATTGAGGTGTGAGTCTAAGCGATCTTGTATCCTTTGGACTGTGTATATCCTTCATGGATATAGAGGCCGGATTAATAAAAATCCATTATCTAAAAATTACCACCCTTCAACACGTGTTGATTTATTGCTTGGCAAGAAATTTCTCGGTGTTAGATCGTGACATGCAATTGTACTGTTGAAACTGGCGGTTTCAAACAACGTGGGGGAGACCGAGGCCTCCGCCCGTCGGAGACCGCCCTTGGGCGGAGGCTCGGGATTGGAGCGACAGGGGGAAGAGTGGTGAGTAAGGGAATAACACAGAAAGCTATGGCTTCATTAATTCATCCACCAACCAACCCCTTTACTGTTACAAGTGTCCCCTATTTATAGGGCTCAACTACCACATTCATGGAGTTTACAGTAGTATCCATCAACTGCTACAGTACATTCTTGGGATATTCCTCTATTCGCCTTCCGCCTCGGGGGTAATCTTGTCATGCCGCCATCTGGTACTGGGCCTGCATGACCAACCGGCCCAACGGGCCTCAGGACTCGGCGATGGGCTTTAGGGCCTCCGCCGTAGGTCTCCGCTCTGTCCGGCCTCAGGATCCGACGACGAGCCTTCGGGCCTCCGCCTCTGGGAGTGCCGAAGCCGTAGGCCTCCGGCATCCTAGGATCGCCGATCTCCTGCTTGGGCCTTCGCCCCAACGGGCGGAGACCATGCTGGAGCACCCGCGCAGTCCACGAGCGCCCTCATCTGGTTACCTACACATACCCAAACAATGTTGGCATTTAATTAGTCTCCTGGCGGAGCGGCCTTCGCCCCATCGGCCGGAGACGCCTGCGAACCGGCCGGGCGGAGACCGCGTCAGGGCCGTCGTCCGCAACCTGCAAGCTCAATCAAACAAACTGTTCTCTATCCCGGGTTTGGAGGCGTGGGAGCACAACCTCCACTTTGGTAACAGGTCGGAGATGCCCTCGTAACCTGCTGACTGCGTAGGTCTCCGCCACTCCCGGTGGCCATGTTACAACATGTACGTTGCTCATTGCTATTTGGTCGTGACTTTGGAGATTTTTTCATAGATGAAGCATTTTATTAACTCAAAATAATTACATCAAGTTGATACAACCATCTCGAGATCACTTCCGACTTGTGCATTAAAGCACATGGCCTATAAGAAGTTATTTTCTAGACAAATACAGCCAACCTAGTGACTATCAATCCGTAGACTAAACCACCACCGATGTGCCCAGGTAAAAAATTTCTTTACCACGTGGTCCAATTGTTTCCATGCCGCTATGACCGAATCCTGTGAAGGAACCTACTGGAGAATAACTCAAGTACAGAGCCGGTAGATAATCCAGTGGCCCCCAGCTGCACAGGAGAATTAACATTTTTAATCAAAGATCATATCATTTGGATGTAGCCACAAAGACCAACAAGTTGCGGCCACTTTTAGCAAGAGCAGTGTTCAGGTCTGTTCCAATTCCTCATAACCAGCTACCATCGATTGCTTGTTGGTTC